GCCAGTTATTCAGCGTAGGGCTGTATATTTCATCAAAAAATTGTGTCTACTAGTACTATATACAAATGTTTAATTGGCATCTTTTTTCAAACGACCCGACCGACCGCGACCCGAATATCATTAAAAACATTTTTGGATGACCCGTAACTGCGGGTAACCGCGGGTGACCGCAGGCACCCGCTCATTTCGGATCAACCCGCGCATCACTGGTTCTCATCCCAAAGCGCCATATAGGACGCTTTTGCAAAAGCGTAAATATCCAACGCACATGGCACCCTTTAACGTCTAATGAGACGCTTCGGTTAATGGTTAAGTTTAGGTATGGTGTAGGGTAAGGGTTAGACCACTAGGGGGCGCCTTCTGCCCAAATATATCTGAGTCTCATTTCACGTTAAAGGTTAGGTTTAGATGTGGGGTGGGGGTAGGGTACACGCGATCCTAGGGCGTCATCTAACTGACGCTAAAGGGCGCCTAAAGCGTCAGATTTTGAAGCATGAAGTCAGTTAGGTGATGCCTTGGGGGTGAGAATGGGCTGAATTATTAGACCTATAACAACAGAAAAGTGGAGTGATTTGTTCACGTTAACATAATGTTTGTGTCTTGTGGCTAAGGAGGCTATATTTTGAAAAACACTACAGTATAAGGCTATATATTGTTTCACTTCCATTTTAAAAGCTTGTAGACTGTAACTAAACCCCTTCCAGGCAGAGGGTGGACATGAGCTGAAAAGACTAGTAGGCTACTCCAGTCATGACTAAGCCTCCTAAAACCTCTCACCCTTTTCTGTTTGCACGCATTTATCTGACCTGCCTAAATCTTTCAAAGCACATCGACCACATGTAGCTTACATACTATGTATCTTTAGTATACGCATGGTCATGCTTGCACTGCAGTATTCTAAATATTTTCAATCAACATGAAAATGTATAAAGCTGCACAGTACAATTTATTGTAAAGTCATGGTGGAGCAGAACCACAAACAATACCATCACTGTGGCTTATGCAGCCATTTTTAACATTTACAACATTATGGTATTATTAAAATGTATTATTTTACTATGCCATAATGTTATAAATATTAAAAATGGTATGTATTTGTGACATATTTCCAACTAACACCTGATCGGTTTGTACTACTGTGACAGTTTATTGTTTGTTTGTAACTAAAGTAGTAAGAAGTTAAGTAGTGAGCCTGAAATGGTTGAACTGCTCTTCTGTTTGAGCACTAAAAATACTGTTCTGGCAGGAGATGGGATTTGTAAAATGATATGATAAGAGAATATTCAGTTCAGTTCAGTAATCATCTGGTGTCACTAGCCAGGAGGACACTGAGAAAAAAATAAACAGTGCTTTACAAGCTTCAGTGTAAAGTCTCCCCCATCTTTTTTCATTTTTTAAAAAAAAGCTAAGTGTGTTATACATTTGAATACTAACATAATGGTTATCTATGGTTGATCCTATATCATTTGAAACATTTTCATTTCACTCCATTTATTTTTTGGTTTGGATAGGCCAGAAATGTAAATACTTCAATTTGACATTCAAAATAGATGATAGGCTACTCTACATTCAGAATCAGTAGGCCTAGCCTTTAAAAAATGAACTAGCCTAATTGAAAGAACGGTTGAAAATTTCTAATTGGAAATGATAAAATATTAAAGCACCATAACTATATTATTTTGAAGCAGTCTGCACACATGATGGCGCAATAGGACTGTACAAACTAGATTGTGTTCACTGCATTAAAGTTGCACTAGTCATCAATGTTTAACTGCATACAACTCCAGTCCTCCAGACGCGCTCATTGCACACTAACAATTTTTGCAATGTTAATTTTAATCTAATGTGTGGGTGTAGCTTATATGTTGTTATTGCACAATATTTCACCTTGGGTAAAACGCATTAGGCTATACCCCCTCTCTAATGCTATTACTGTGGCTTATGCAGCCTTCAGTATAATAATTAAATAATAACCCTATTAAACTAGACTACACGCGTACAATAATTAGCCTAGCCAACTTTATGGACGGGTTTGGCACTAACTTTTAAAACACACCTGCATTATAAGCGAATTACTTAGTAATAATGACGGTATGTTATGTCTTATGTCAGATAAAGACAAGAAAAAAACAGACAAGTGTCTACAATGGGTTAATCTACAGTTGACGTCTCTCGGTTGAGAGTCCCTCACAGGCGCTAAATCTGAAGAGCACTTCAAAGAGGGATTCACATCACTACACACATACACGTTCACAAATCAAACTACAGACGAACCAACTAAGATATTGAGGTTTTGGTAAAAGATCGACCCTACTTTAGAGCTGTATAAAACTTTAATCAGAACAAACTGCCATAAACAAGAAGACACACGGCGGACTGCGCGAGCGAGCAGTCACATCAATCACGGAAAATGCTGCGAGGCTTCACACCGTCTCACTGATCGGACTCGGCGCGTTCCAAGTCATAGCTGCGTTCCGTCGCCACTCGGACACTACTTTTCAAAACAAATCTATCTAAAACTAGCCTTTCCTTCCCGAGCACATTTATTAGTATCACTGAAGCCTGTGGGACCTTCTCCAGCTGTGCCATCATATACCCCGCTGCTTACCGTCACTTTTCAACATGATCAACACCTTTTGCCAAGGGTAAGCAAACAGTTTGCTTTATGGAATGATGCCATTCAACACTTCAGACAGCAATCTTCTGATAAACGCATTAATTTTCGTGTCATTTTTTTTTTAATCCAGGTAGTTGAGAGCAATGGCACTTTCTTGGAAACCCTGTGAATTGGATATTTGCTTCTCCCACCCCAAGTAGGCTAAGAGTCAACGACAATTTTCTGTAGTCAAGATGCAGATTGTTTCGGCTGTTTTGCTGCTGTTCTGTTTTCACAAGGTGAGTAGCCTACCATTCTCTCCATTTTCGCACAGGCTATATGAAAACTGTATGCAATTATGTGCAAACTTTAAGCAAATGTACTGAACGTGATACTTGTATAATTTTCAGTTAAATACTTATAGAGTTTTCAGTTAAACTAGTTAATTTAAATAACATATTAGCCTACAGTATCTGCTTAATTCTGGTGGACGATTAGATCATTATCCATAGTCTTTTTAATCTCTTTTAATTATATTTGCCTTTCTTGGTAGAAAGTAGAAATACACATTTACAACTTTTTATTTCTCTCATGCATACTTTTGCATTAAAATGTAGTTATTGGACTCACATAACAGCATACTTTTGTTTCAGCTGATGTGATAGATTGTAATTTGATTTAACTATGCATTGAAGTCAATACAATGTTGAAAATAAATGTTAACTACACAAAACAAGAATTTTATTATATATTTATTTTATTTATTATACTTAAAATTACATGTAGCTGATAAACCATCTTATTCTCAACTGAGTGTAACTTTGCATATTAAATATTTTTGCACAGAGAAAAAGCAAGGATGTGTGTTATTATGTAGCCTATTATTCATTCTTCAATTTTGGTCTTATTTTTATATAAATCACACACTTTTATAATTAACACTATCAATTATAGGAAAATAATTAATCTTTTTATTGCATAAAACTCTGACTGGTAATATGGTAGATGGTTTCTAAAATACTTCTAAACTGCATACAAACATCCTTTCTGCATTCCAACCTTGCACATAATAATTTTTCAAATTTGGCTGTCCATTGCATTTGATGTACCTATGGGAATGGCTTCTGTCTTTGAGTACATCCACTTCTGTACAATCCTCCAAAGGCAGCGTCCCAATGGATTAGAGTCCCCAAAGTGTCTCTCTCTCTCTCTCTCTCTCTCTCTCTCTCTCTCTCACTCTCACTCTCTCACACACACACACACACACACACACACACACACACACACACACACACACACACACACACACACACACACACACACACACACACACACACACACAGTGATTCAAATACTGGAAAAGTAGCCCAGCATCTGTGCAGCTCCCTGGGGACAGATAAGAGGGTCAGAGCCTACACACTAGTAACTATTCATTCCATGACATCTGCTGCAGTCAACCTCTGAGAGCAGGACAGAGAACAATGTGATCAGCACTAAATCCACTTGAGCACAACGGCATGACTCTATTGTTTAGACACATTTGCTTTCATTCCTCATCTTTGTATAATGATTGTTCTCTGCATGGCTGAAGTTCAGCGCAGTTGGCCTTTGCTGCCAGAGTGCCGCTCTCTTCAACACCCCCTTCTGCTGCTCGCCGTTGTGCTTTGCTCTTGTTCATAGATAAGATGCGTATAACAGCCATCAATCTGTGCTCAAGATTTTCCAGAGCATTGCTTTGCTGATTGAAAGAAGAGATGATGAGTAATTTAGGAAGGTGGTGTGTGATGTCCATACAACTAACTCCAACAGCACACAGATGTTTGTTCACTCAAACGCTTATATGATGTTGGTCTGTAAGAATACCACAGAAATGTCTGTCAGTTTAATGTCCTCACAGTTATTTCAATATGAAACTCTGCCTCAGCCGAAATCTGAACTCAGAGGGCGCGTTTGAATACGCAGACTTCAATGGTTTATGGAGAGCAAATTTAAAGCTGGAATAATGATTCGCATTGAATTCCCTATCGCGAGGTCGTCCAGCTCTCCCGCTGTCTTTGTGCGCAATTAGCTTTGATTTCATTATTTATTTACTGGAGGAAAACTAGCGGTGGAGAATTTACAAAAAAATTTACAGTGCTCGGATTAGGAGCCACGCTTTAATCTTATGCCTCTGATAATGCTGCATGGCCTGATTGATTAGTTTTTCAGGAAGCTTATGTCAGAAAAACTAATCCGTCTTTGGATTGTGCCAGCCGTGTAAGGTTCTCCTCTCTGGTGCTGTATCATGGAGGCGAATTACAGAGCTGCTGGGCTGTGATAAGGCCCTCGTCTCTTTCACACACCCGTCCCCCTGGACAATAAAAACGCTGTTTATATTCTTCAGAACCTGCTGCAGCCCGAGTCTTCACATCAAGCCCTCGCTGGATTTGCCATGTGAGGGGAGACCGTACATCGGGCTCTCAAAATTGGGCTGAGGACACCAAATGAGAGGGGGAAAAAAGCATAACCAGAATGGAGTCGTGAAATGTGTTTGTAGGTCCAGTAACCCAGAAATTCCTGCCGAGAGAGATTACATGAGGGTTTCAGTGAGTGTGTCTGTAAATATGAGCGTTTCACTTTAGATTGGCATTATCAGTGCTGGGCTTATACACCAGTGATGTGTATCTGTGTCTATATTGGGGTCATTGTTGCTTTCCAGAAGACTGGCCTCAGTAATCCCTAATAAACAATGTTGTCTGTGACATTTACCGTTTGTTGGGTGCTGTGCACTTTCTCGTGTTTGTTAATTTCATGTGGAAAAACACAGGAATATCTGTCACACCTAAGAGCAGGTGCCATTTACATGTCGCCATCGTTTTTAGTTTGCTGGTGGTTTTCAAGTTATCTACTTTTCATCTAGACACATTTATTGTGAATGAATAATAACAGATTTTAATTGATAGATTTTCTTGACAGATCACATTTGGAAACACATATCAAACTCAGTGATTTAGGATGACTGTTATTTTTTATCGATTTACGTAGAAAGACTGCAAGAATTAGCCTGCAGTGCATTTAGTATTCTACATGTTAAAAATGTAATTTCATAAATTGGTTTTCATTTATTACTATAGAAATCTAAAAATGAAAGTTGTTGTTTTGGCTCATTGGTCACTTGAACTGCAGATAGTTACTCTAAAAGGTTTACAAGTGCAATCTTTAATGTGTGTCTCACACATTAGACAGTTTATGTTAATGTCATTTGTCAAAGTTCTGACTTTTATTTTTGCCATGAAAGTAATGCCAGGGTCATCCATTACCTGAGATATAAAATCAATGCTTTTCCACTTATGGGCTGGAAACTGTGATTTCGGAGTGTTCCAGAGCTGAAGGACAGGCCTGTATATTTCAGGCTTTATATCATGATAGATGTGTTGTGTTGCGATTCTCTGTCCTTCCAAAGCTGTATTATGACTTTCTTTCTTCTGCCGAATGCAAAAGATGTTTAACAACGCTCTTTAGCTTTCACTGTATGGACAAAAAAAAAAAAAAAGAAAAAAAAACCACTAAGACATTTTTCAAAGTTTTTTGAAAGAAACCATTCAGGTTTGGAAGAACATGAGAGTGATTAAATTATGACAAATTTAAAATTTTCGTTTTGGGTGAACTATCCATTTAAGTCTGCAGATTTAGTATTTTTTTAAATTTTGTTAAAAGATAAAATAGTTTTACTCATTTCAATGAATGTCTATTTGAGCTTTCAGCTACTTCACGTCTCCGTCATATTTTCTTTACCTTTATTTTTTTAATTCATCCTGTTGTCTCTCGTTTTGTCACTCTGATGTGAGGATTTCAGCCCCGCTTGTATGAAATATCATATCTATAAGAAACCAAAAAAAGGCTTCTTCTTTTTTTCTGCTGCTGCTTCATTATATTCAAAAGAGACTGGTATGTCTGAAAACAGGTAGGATTCATCCTAATCAAAGAACAGAGATAACTGTACTGTCAGTTGTAATGCTGCGCTGACAGGAAGGGCTGCTGCTGCATATGATTCTCACTATTTATATTTGCATGTTCTTCATCCAAAGCAAAGAGGGAAATTAAGATGGAACATCAGAAGTGCTTCCAATGAGAAAGCTTGAAGTGCCGCGAACACATTTTCATGCACGTTTTTTCCCTATACTTTCTCGCCAGTCCAGTGTTGTCTTTGCATGTGAAACTTGTGATCATAGCTGTTATTCTTGCTGAGGAAATGTCAAACACATTTGTGGGAACAAAGATCAGACAGATGGGTATAATGGGATTGTAGAGGTGTTGATGGGATGATAGTTAGTGCACCAGCAGAGTGTGGAACAAAGAGCCGACATGTATTAAAGGGGGAAGAAAGAATACGAATCACTTCTCACCTAACAGACCTGATCTTATTAACAGGTTATGATGTACGGTAAAATGCAATACAATAGCACCTTGTCTGACTCCATTTATGTTGGTCCTTAATGTTTTTTCACTTTTTTTTTTTAGCAGCTTGATCCCAAAGTTTTTGACATATTTAGGGTGTTAACACATGCAAATAATTAACCACGTTTAAAGCTGTTAACACATTGATTCAATTTGACATTATAACTGTTTCATTTTGTTAATGCGCTAAGAACTAGGAACTGTATGCAATCCAAAATCGTATTTTGCCTATAGATAGAAATAAGTTTTTTATTGGAAATAAGGAGCGTGGAAAGCCGCAATGGCAGCCACGTACACCTGAAATAAATAATTCAAGTAATAATTTCCTGTGTTTGAATTTATCAATACATTCAAACACAGGGAATTATTACACATCAATCAGTAATACAACCAGAAAGAAAATCAACTCATCTGGTTTTGAACGTATATAGATTTGTGTATCGTCGATCTCAAGAGATAGCCAAGTGGTGATAGATATGTTAAAAGTAAAGGGCCCAGAACTGACCCCTGAGGAACACCAGTGATAACAGAGCTAATCTCAGACCTATGGTCACCATTTGAGATGAACTGGGAACGGTCAGCAAAGTAGGATCGAAACCACTTCAAAACTGTCCCAGACATACCAGACACTCTTTCAAGACGTGTGAGCATTAGACTGTGATCAACAGTGTCAAAAGCATCTCTTAAATCTAAAAGAATTAGACTAGATGTTACACCAGAGTCAGAAGCCATCGACAGATTATTGGTGACTTTAACCAGAGCCAGCTACCTGCCCGGTTGGCTTCAGTGCTGGAGTTCTTTCAAGATCGCTTATTGGCTCATCTTACCCCGTACACACTCAAGGTGTACGTGGATGCCATTGCAGCTTTCCACTCTCTTTTGGGAGACATCAGCTGGTCGTATGTTTCCTCTGTGGGGCTCGGAGGATGAGACCTCGGAGGATGAGACCATACTAGAGGTCCCACATGGGACCTGGTAGTGGTTCTCGAAGGGCTGGTTGGGGCCCCCTTCGAACCTCTGGAGTCGGCTGAGCTCGTTGTGGCATAGTGGGTACTCGTAGTGGACGCAATTGGAGTTCCCTCGAGAGGGAACTTCTCAGATTATGACTGTAACCCTTGTTCCCTGAGAAGGAAACGAAACACTGCATCCCTCCGCTACACCTTCTCCTGCCTGGGAGCGACTTGCTTCATTGCAGAAGCTAACTCTGTTCTGTGCCGTCGTCCCTTTGTAGCTTCCGCGTATGCTATTACCTCATGACGCAGAACCAATCAGGATTGGAATAGTTTCATTTATACTTCAGATGCGTTACGCTAAGGGCGTTCCCCAAGCGTCGTAGTCAACGCAGTGTCTCGTTCCCTTGTCAGGATACAATGTATATATTATACATATATATATAATCTACTATGTATGATGCATATATATGATGTATAATCACAAAGTTACTCCCTTACCATGTCACCCAGCAGAGAAAGTGAAAGTACTGAAATACTACTGGCACATCTGTGGGTTTTCTTCTTATTATTTAATTTATTTGATCTAAATCCTGTGTAGAAAAGATTGGAGTTTTGACTTTTTTTGAATTAAAATTTAAATGCAGTTATGTTAATACAGCATACAAATGTTAAAGGACACATTTCATTGGCCTCACATCACTTTAATTGGAAGTCATTGAAAGCGACCGTACCTCTGATTGGCTACAGGTCTGACCAGATGATTTAAGGGTCCGATGCCTAAGGCAGCCATGCATGAGCGTTTGGCTCTGTAAGGGTCAGGTGCTAATGACAGCGGGGATTATATGGCATTAGACATGCAGCACAGCGAACAGTTCAGCGATCAGTCCCGGCTGAGGGTGAGATTTCTCTCTTTGATCCTCTCTGCTGAAAACCTGCCATTTGTTAGCTGCTCGGCTCTTGATTAAGAGTGATGGGTTTCGGGTTTGCGGCTGTTTCACCCATCAGGGTAGCAATCTATTCTGCGGCCGTGTGTAGACTCAGGACCCCACCTGCCTCCTCAAGGCCTTTGGGGCCTTCTCTTGAAACTGCTCTTTGTGTGAATCATTACAAATGAAATGCCCTGTAACACCACACAGGAGAAACAGTGGGGAGATAAAGAGAGAGAGGCAAAGAAAGGAATAAAGCGACAGAGACTTTGGGGAGGAACAGGAGTCTGGAAAGGTGTAATGGAGAGGCAGCTGAGGCCATGTTCAGTACTGTTTAACAAGAAACTGCTGTTCGATTACATTATGGGTGCCTTGGCTTAAACAAAATGCTCTTATATTTGTGTAGTATATACATTTTGGTTTGGATAATTGTGTGGTGTGTATTTGATGACACTGCATGCTTAGAAGTGTTTTATTACAGAACATCATGAGTAGGTTTAGATGATCTCAAATGGTTGACCCACAAAACCCACATGGTTCAGGTTTGAATCGGATCCCATACCCCCCCTCTCTCTCTCCCTTCATTTTTTGTCTGTTCTTTACAGTAATATAGAAAAAAAAGCCTATAAATAAATTAAAATGTTATCCCACTTGAACTATGCATTTAAACAATACAATAATAATAATAATAATAATAATAATAATTAAAAAAACAAAAACAATAAGACATATGATGTAATAAATATTATATAATTATAACATTATAACAATATAACGTATTCCACTGAATCCATGTTCAAGGAACAGACGGAAATGTGTTTGCATCTAGATTTAAAAGGCTAGCATTTTTTTATATGAACATGCCCTAGATTTTGTTGAGAGAACTACGGTATTATTATTATTAGTGTAAAGACTTAAACTTCAGTTTCTCACACAAAACTATCATATGACATATGAGAAAACATGAAATATGGTGCATAAGACTTATATGTGCATTGTTATTTTTTGGACCTTGACAGGCATGGTCACTATTAACTTTTTTTTTTTTTTTATGTTAAAAAAAGTATCCTTTTATTTTTCAAGGAAAAAAAATGCTTTGGTAGAATGGAATGGGTGAATAAGGATGAGCTGGTATACACTGGTCTTTTAAAATCAGATTATAAACCACTATAGGCTTTTTACATTGCCAACTTAAAAAAAAATAAATAAATAAATAAAAAAGATACAAACAACTGAGGATCACATGCTACCCGACTTTTAAATCGTCTCCAAACACAACTAACCCACGCAAAAAAGTGTGCCTCATCATTAAAAAATATTTGTTCTGAAATCAGCTCAAAATATCTGTTTATTCGAGTCTGTGCCCAACATATACTACACAATTCACTGTGAAATCTGTCAACTGTGTCAAATGTCCAATATCTGCAGACTGGCTCTGACTTTCAGCAACTGGCATCAACTCGTCCAGACTGCAAAACAGGGAAAAAATCTAGACAGAAGTCGTGTAGTGTATTCCAGCCTTAGTAAAGTAAAGTTTCAAGAAAGTAAATTCTAAAAATGAGGTACAAATCACAGCTCCACTACCATGCTGTACAAACATGGGGCTCTGGGGCTGAGAAATAGGGAGACGGCACAAGAAAGAGAAATGGACGGGAAATGACAAGAAGGTACAGGTCTGACAACCAAACAGATTCATGCCCCGGGGCTGGAGAGCCATCACAGCCATCAGAGGTGTGCTTCCACCAGACGAAGCAAATGCATTTTAACAGCATCCTCATCCATGATCCGCCACTGAGATGTCCCTGACTTCTTAATAACTTTCTAGAGGGCTAGTTCTGGTCACCACGGCAATTACCTTTATGTCAAGCCGTAAAAGATATGTCCACCCCAGGGACTGGCAGACAGCTTGCTCCATAATGCTCATTACAGATGGACATCTAGACTGATTCTTTTCTCACTTTGTGGATGTCATATTATGATGCTGTCAGTATGAAAATCGGCCAGCTATCGGTGTGGGTGACTGACACATTATACAATACATTACCAAGTTACAGATATTTATCAGAGGTTTAAACCATTTAATATCTGCTTTTATGATATACGGTAGATATACCTGTATCTATATATCTGTTATATATATATATATATATATATATATATATATATTAATTCTTTAATTCAGAAAATATGTATTAAATTGATCAACATTTTGATCAAGATTTATATGTAAAAACTGCTGTTCTTTTGAACTTTCTATTCATCAAGGATTACTGAAAAAAACAACATTTACAACTAAGAATTTTAAAGCTGCAACTGTTTGATAAATGTTTCAGCATATTAGAATCATTTCTGAAGGATCATGTGACACTAAAGACTGGAGTAATGATGCTGAAAATTTAGCTTTGCCATCAAAGGAATAAATTATATTTTAAAATATATTCAAATAGAAAACAGTTAACACATCTTAAATTGTAATACTATTTCACAATATTACTGTTTTTACTGTATTTTTTTTATCAAATAAATGCAGCTTTGTTGAGTATAAGAGACTTCTTTCAAAAAAAAAAAAAAAAAAAATCGAGAAATCTAATTTTCATTCATCTTTTGGCATAAGAGGTTATGGTACTTTAAAAATGTCCTGTAAGTTTCAGAACCCAAAACTTCCTTGTTGGTCCAAAAACAGGATAATTCAGATTTTTTTAATTGCCTGATTCCACACATGTAATGGCAGACAAACGGGGACATCGAAAATTATCTTAATATGCAAAACCCTATCATAGCAGTGGGCGTTTAGTACATCAAAATGCTACACCTATCAAAATGCAGTGTTTGAAAGACCTATCAAAATGCAGTGTTTGAAAGAGAGGGTCAAAACTAAAATACCTTTATTACTTCTAAATTAGGATGTTTTTTATACAAAAATCTTGATGACAGTGGACCTCAGAGAACATTATAAAATAAAATAAAAATGCTGTTCTTGGCTCATTAAAAAAAAAAAAAAAAACATACCACCTGTAATGTTCTATACAAACACACACACTGGGTGTTCTTGTTTTATGGGAACTTACCATAGATGTATTTTTATATGTACTAACTGTATATTCTACCCCGTTACACTATACCCTACCCATCACAGAAGACTTTCTGCATTTTTTTAAAAATTTAAAAAAAAAAAAAAAAAAAAAACATTACTATTTTCCTCATGGGGACCAAAAATATATCCCAACAAGGTCAAAGAATTCTGGTAATACTATCCTAGTGAGAACATTTTGTTCCCTTAACATAAGGTTTTCCAGGATCACACACACACACACACACATCACACCAACACGGTTCCATAGACACAATGATTTTATACTGTACAAACTGCACATTTGATCCCCTAACCCTACACCAAGCACTTATTCTGTGGTTATTCTGATAGGACACTTGTATGAACTTGAGGCTTATTACTGTATACAACTGCTGTTTCTGAAAGAATAAAAGGTTAAAGGTAAATATCTGTCTATTACTCTGACTGTACAGCCTTCAGGACAGTACTGTACTAAAGTCTTAATTAACATCCTTAGATGTTAATTAACATTAACATCTAAGCAAACCTTGCTTAGATGTTAGCAAACCTTGTATGCCTTAGCAAACCTTGTATGCCTTACCTCTACCAAAGTCACAGCTGTAGTCCTTCTCTTGAGTTAGACTTATTACCATAATATGTGTTGAATTACTGCCACCCTACATGTAGGAGAGGGGGGGGGGGGGGGGGATTGGGGCTGATTGTCACCACAATCTTTTAAGTTTTCCTCTCAAGCCATAAAGCATTTTATTTTGCCTGTGATCCCTCCACTTGTCACAGCAATTTCCGAAGCTGTTCATCATCCTCTAACTGCTTCCACATTAGCATTATCATCTCCTTGCTGCTTCACCTGAAGTTGCCTCTCACCACATTTTCTCTAAATGTGAATGGTATTCATCTTCCCTTGTGAAGTCATTG